ACTCAACCTTACGCTAACAAATACACCAATTACACTCTCTAAAAGACCAAAACAACAATAAATATTTGTTTATATAAACCAGTTGATGAAGAAATAAATTTTAAAAAATATTCCCCAGGTGAGGCTCGAACTCACAACCCCGGCATAACTCACAAGTACTGCGTTATAAGTACCGTGCGCTAACCAATTGCGCCACTGGGGACACGTGTTATCAGCCCTTCTATTCGTTATAGTAGAGTAACTTACTTATCAAACATCAAAACGCTGATGTATAATTGACTTTTGTGATAAATGGTGTCTCTTATCGTCACACCAATCGCTTATATTATAAATTATCAACTAATATATCATACAAGTGATTAAACTTTTCGTGATAACATGGTAAATACTTGAACAGATTGACATTAGACTAATAACTATAAATGTTATATACAATAAATGAACTAAGGAATTGTCTTTTATGAGAAATTTAATTGCAGAAAAACAGTGTTTAAACGTAATTCTTCGCTAAGAAATTTGGTATATGAGAGTAATAATAGTAACTGTTTGTGTAAACGTATTATTAAATTATACAAGGAAACTGCTGAATAAATTTGCATTGTGTGTTAATTATTTAATCTAAAATTAAAATTTACTTTAGTAATATTCCCAAAAACATAATTAATGACCAAGCAGATGTGACATAAATATAAATGAGCAATAAAAATTAATAAAATTGAATTTTTATTTATGAAAATGACGCGTTTTATGAGGTAATCGGGGGGAGGAAACCAGCGCATATTTTTATTTTCTTTGCTTTTTTAAATGAAAACATTTCAATCAAGCAAGAGAAAATTAAGTAGACTGATTATATCGACTTTATTACGTATAACGAGTAAAGGAAACAAAAAACACCGATACATCCTATAATTCAATTTTATGTTGTCAGATGGCGCTATGTTGCTCCTCATTATTACAAATTACCCTCTTTAAAGAGGTCATAGATGTTTGAAGATCGAAATTGCTCTCAATTTTTCGTAAGGCACAGCATAAATTTATTAAAATCTGAAGTTTATTATATCCCATTAATTTTTATATTACTTACTTTTAAAAAAAAAATCGAAATTTTATAGGGCCATAAAACATTTTATAGTATATTTATTAAAGTATATATGCGCAGTTTTATTCAAAAGTATAATAGATGTATTACACGTGATCGAGGTGATGTCGTTCTTAAGATCGAGATGTGTTTACGATACTTTACCATTGGTTTTAATGTCGATCTATCTCAAAGTACAGTACTGTACTGTACATCTGCATGAAAGCATAAATTCCAAATGGGTTTATTAATAGAGTAGATAAAAGGCCAAAGAATGGGGTTCTAGTTACAAGGAGACTGTTATTACCCACCGAATTCCAACAAACTGGTTTTACTAAGAAAAACTAGTTTAATACATTTTGTATTTTTTCTAGATAAAAAGAATATATATATAAACAGATTTGTAATTATAGTGTAGCTTGACATATTGCTTACACAGTAGAACCTGTTTAAAACGGAACCTGCCAAACCGGCGATATTCGGTACAGTGTGAGTCCGGTTTACACAGGTTTTACTATCCATATCTATATTATATCTTCATAAACTTTGTCCATTGAAAAAAAATCCAGCAACGAGTTGCTTCACTTTCCCGGCAACGTTTGGTGGCGCCATCTGTTATGATATTTTATTTTAAAATTTATATATATATTTTTAACTATTATAAAATGGCGAAAAGCTTAATTTTGAGGGTAGGGACGAGTTTTATAAAAAATTGTAAATGGCAATAACCAGTAAAATCGTCATTTAGTCCCATCCTACTGGAGATACACACGACTCCCTTTATCTCCCCACCACGTCGACCTTTAGTCACCAAAATTTAATAGCATCAATCCTCCTAATAAACAAACCTCCTTGCAAACTTTCAGAAATTTTCGACAAAAATACAAAAAGCACAGGAGTTATTAAGCTTCAAACTGGGTGAACAAAATCTTGCCCCCCACACACACACCAATATTTATATATACAAAAATTATTCCTAAATTTTGCATTTCTCGACGTTTCAAGGTATCGTAACTCCAAAAATATAAAAATCTGGAGGGGGTCATTTTTCGACCGATGGCCATACTTTTCCTCTGTTATATATAACAACCGGGAAGGTAAAAAAAAAAGTGTATCGCGCTAAACAACGCAATGTTTGGACTAATTATGAATAATTTATTATATGATGTCCGATGTTAAGGAGGGGATTCAGGAACCTCGTTAACACAAAACACTCCTGACCTTTTTTTTTTTTAAAGATGCGAGTTTACGAGATAGTAAACTTAAATTTCTTTCTGTGCACTGTTATTGTTTAAGTTAAAGATCAATGTCCTGAAGTTAGTGATGAAGGATTTTTCGATTCTCGTTTTCAAAAATCATGAGGCGAAACCTTATGATTTCCTGTATACTTCGTACTAGTGTTTTACGGTGAAGAGTGCGTTGACTTTCCACATCATGCCAAGGGTCGTTGGCATATCTGCACCCAGCCACCTTGATGGCGGCTACAAGTTAGTTCCGCATTGTCACGTAAAATGTCGGGTTGTAACTGCATTGGCCTGTATTTTCCAATTGAACGTTTTATATGAGTCACGTCGTAATGATTTTATTAGTGTTTTATGTTATTTTACCCACCTAAAAATAATCGTAATGGTGTTCAAGTACGATTTACGCTTCCAAAATAAGGGTGCGTTTTCGCCTTCTCTCTTCTTCTCTTTACTTTTTAATATTAATTTTAAAATTCTGCAAGTTTGATTTTACGAAAGTTAAATTATTTTTTAGCAATTCTCTGTATTAATTTCTTTACTTAAATCAATTTAATTTAAATTTAATGCCCTGTAAACGCCTTAGTAATTTGATTGTTCGAGTAAATTTACTCGTTTTATAACGTCTTTTTAATTAAATTTATCTCGAAAAAGTAATTTTATTATAAATTCTAACTATTTTACTAACATTTTCGATTATTATTGGGAATCGAAGTATACAAAATCACTATAAAAACACTCATTAAGACATTTATTATTGCAGAAAAACAGGATTTATGTTAAATTCCCTATCCAAAGAATGATTTTAATAATAATTATTAGTAAATTTGACCACGTTTGTTCGAGTTTGTCGGATTTTAATGGGGATTGTTATTCGGGAGATGCTTCTAATGGGGATGTTGTTTGGGAGAATCACGTGCAACTCCACTAAAATAAGTACTGTGTTATAAGTACCGTGCGCTAACCAATTGCGCCACTGGGGACACGTGTTATCAGCCCTTCTATTCGTTATAGTAGAGTAACTTACTTATCAAACATCAAAACGTTGATGTATAATTGACTTTTGTGATAAATGGTGTCTCTTATCGTCACACCAATCGCTTATATTATAAATTATCAACTAATATATCATACAAGTGATTAAACTTTTCGTGATAACATGGTAAATACTTGAACAGATTGACATTAGACTAATAACTATAAATGTTATATACAATAAATGAACTAAGGAATTGTCTTTTATGAGAAATTTAATTGCAGAAAAACAGTGTTTAAACGTAATTCTTCGCTAAGAAATTTGGTATATGAGAGTAATAATAGTAACTGTTTGTGTAAACGTATTATTAAATTATACAAGGAAACTGCTGAATAAATTTGCATTGTGTGTTAATTATTTAATCTAAAATTAAAATTTACTTTAGTAATATTCCCAAAAACATAATTAATGACCAAGCAGATGTGACATAAATATAAATGAGCAATAAAAATTAATAAAATTGAATTTTTATTTATGAAAATGACGCGTTTTATGAGGTAATCGGGGGGAGGAAACCAGCGCATATTTTTATTTTCTTTGCTTTTTTAAATGAAAACATTTCAATCAAGCAAGAGAAAATTAAGTAGACTGATTATATCGACTTTATTACGTATAACGAGTAAAGGAAACAAAAAACACCGATACATCCTCNCCATTTTTCTTTTACTCTGATTCATTTCTATAAAGAAAACAACGGAGTATTTCATAAGAATAAATTATAAAAATATCAAAAATATAAGTAAATTTGATTATTGTTTTAGTAAAGCACGTTACACACATTTTAGGGCCTCAAACTGTAAGGATATAGTTGAGGGTTTCAAATTGTGAGGACGTAATTTAAGCCTTCGAACAGCTAGGATATGGTTCAGGACCTAAAACTGTAAAGATATTGTTTAGAATCTTATACTTAAATTTATTATTTGAAGAGGAAGCGACTCTTATATTGTAGCTTAGTGTCACAATAAGTCTAAATCCGGTACTGCTAGAATCATTTGCAAATAAATGACTTTAGAAAAGGCTGTGCATCACCTACTTCTAAGGTCATTCCATATTTAGATATGATTTTTTGCTTCATGATTGAGTTATTAAAATTTAAATTTAATATATCTGATGATAAATTAACTAGCAATCTATCGATTTCTTTAAATTTGTGAATCGTTGTAAAAAAAATACATAATTAAACAACACACACATAAATAAGAACCTATTAAATGAGTACACACCTTTCCTATATACACACGTATACTCATACTAACACACACAGCAAAGTTTTATGTCTACACCAGTCGCTATAGAAGTTCTTGTGTCTACACACGAGGTTTGTCTTCATCACTCTTTACCTCCTGCACCTGGTTGATATTTCCTCCAAGCTAGTTATTGCCTTAATTCTTTGCAACAAATAACACTAGAAAATAGCATAAACTCGATTTATGTTCAACCTTTTAATTTCATTATTTGAAAAAAAAAAAAGTTATACAAATAATTCTCTTTGTATATGGCTTTATTGTATAGAATTTGCGTACAAGAAAGGGAGTTACGAATAGTTAAAACAGAAGAGAAATACGAGTAACGTCTACATTGATAAACGTTACGTGTGTTACGTTTAATCAGACAAGAGCGCATGCGTAACTTAGGTGGCGCTATAAGCAAATCTCTTGCCAGGTGTTTAGTGGCGTGGCGTTGTTGACACTTTGCACTTAGCGATGTGATACTATCGTCTCGGCCATTCATTCGCTAACTGGATTCGTAAGCCACTTGTGACTAGTGACAGTATTTTCGATAGAGTCGACTGTTTAACAATACAGGAATATATGTGAATTGGAGTCATCGGTACACATAACTAAGAGTCTATGATGTAACTAGGTGAGTGATATGACTCATTTACAGTTTTATTATCTCTATGGCATTTAAGTTTATTACGAAATATTATTATTCTAGTTAACGTGTATATATTGTTTCTATTATTCGCATACTTATCTATAGAATATTCATGTTTAAAGTAATTAAAATGCATGCATTTTTATCAATTTTACTTATGTTGAAAACAATGGTTATCGAGTTTTTAGTTTATTTATACGTCGCTCATTTTCCTATTGTTATATATGAATTTTGATACGACTCTTCGTGTTATTTACGTGCGTATTATATTACGTTTGAAGAGAGCAATTCGATTGTTTTTCTTTGTTGAATTTTTTTTTAAAAGATTTGTTCGATAAATAACTACGTAAGAAAAGTTATTGTTCGAAGTAATTTTAACGTAAAATTAGCGTTAACATTTATTGTTTGGCAAAACAATAATGTTCGAGTCGTCGCACTCGATATGGAAAAGATAACCTTGAAAATTGTCTTTTCTTTACGAAAAATGGTCCGTACAAATTTTGAAATTTATGCTGTTCGACGACCGTAAAATGAACGTTTATAGTTGAAACACTGCACTCCTTTTGCTTTGGTTTGAAATGCTTGGATGCGAACGAAGTTATGCGGAAGGATTGCTTCGTTTCCAGTAAATCTTTCATCAGCACAGAATCTACCTAATAAATGTCGCCTTTCTGTCAGCTTAACGCTCTGCAATGAAGACAGAATCGTGTTTTCGGGAAGCAAAAAATAAACTTTTTTTTTTTAAAGAAAAGCGCTTTATAATGATGCAAAAATCTCCACTTTCTTATTGTAATTACATCAGAAAATCCGGCTAGAGAAAGGCGACTCGCAATGACCCACTAAACTGTTGTTCAGATACGTGGAAAGTAATTCAGAGCAAGTTGAATAAAGACATCTTGATAAACCTGTTCGAGTTTTTACGACTTGGAATTCTCTTAATGTTACCGATAACAAGTTTTGTATGTAGAAGATATCCATCTCTTACCTATAAATGAGATCACACTTAAAGTTTGTTATATATTTTTTAAGCTAATTATGGAGTAGGAAGTGAATTTAATATTACTAGTTATATGCTTGAGATCATCTTTTAAATTACAGAGAATTCGCATTCTTAGAAGTACAGCACATATGAAATATCTATAAATACTCTGGTAGTCATATGAATTGTTTTTAATACATGCAGTTATCTTAAACGTTCAAAGTTTATATATAAATACCCGAGGAAATATATTATGAAATATATTTACTAATAACTTAAACCTTAGAATAATACAAATAATTATCAGTTTTTGGCCTTTTTAATCGACTGTGCGGAAAAAAAGATAAATTTTTAAGTAATTTAAATTCAGCAGGCTTAAATTTTGAAGTTTTATGAATTTAATTTATTTTTTTTTATGTCTTTATCGCAGATGTTAAGTTGCGCTTCTCGACAATTAAGTTTACTTTTTGATATATCAAAGGTAATTCAAGGTCGGTGCGACTCCATTGATCGAGTGAAATCCGTTGGAAGAAACTATAGAATATTATTTGCTTGATTTATCGTATTTTCAGATATAAATAATTACATTTTTAGCAAATATAATAATGTAAATGCGCATCTGTCGCAACCGTACATTGCAATAAGCATAAGTCGTAAAAGTTTATAATGGATATTTTATTAATTAAACAGTTTTATATATTCTTATACAAGATATGTTTTAATGTAGACTATATTTTCGAAATTATATTTTATTAAAACATTGAGAGTTTATGATTAAAGAGAGTTGAAAATGGTGGCAGCAAACTACAAAGAGCGAACAGTCAATATTAATTACGCGTAATTAGTATTTATTTTGTTGTTATATACATTCTCAATATGCATATATAAATTAGAAATATTTTATAAAATCAAATATATAATCTTATAGGGAAAGACAATAGAGCCATTAAGCCAGTAGACACAGAGGAGCCTTAAAATTTAGTCTGTTAAGTAAACAAAAAACAAAAGTTTCATTTAATAAATCTGTTTGTATTTGTTTTATTGATTTTATTTGTATACTTTTATGACTTTCGGATGCGGGAAAGGCCCCACATTTATGGCTTGCCGAGCCTCATTTTACTTCTCTCAAGCCCTGTATATATATTTATATATATATAATACATTCAAGGTCTCCAGCCTAATTTCTACAAAGGCATTATACATATACAGATAGAGAACAAAGTAAAATATGGCATCTAAGGAGAGGTCTCCCGATACTGTCCAGTGCACCTATGAACGTTACGTACTATACAGTATATAATAAATTTATACAAAATTATTTTTTGTGTAACCGTTATGATAGAATTACGTCAAAGTGATAACTCTGTATCTATATAACCTTATACAGTACCTTTAGCTACGATTAGACTATGATATAGATCATTGAAAGATAACCGATTTACGTAGAGATTATACTAGATTTTCGTTCTACAATTCTAAAATAAAACTCTACAATCAATACAAATTTAATTTTAATTTTACTTATGCCATTTTTAATAATCAAAATAAATTTATATAACGTTCCACGAATGCATATAAAAATATTAAAATAATTAGGTCATCGTAATTGTTTAAACGGAACTTTATATATATTCTTCTACCAAGAATATACTCATCGTTATTTTATAGTTCTAGTAATATAACTTTTGTCAACGGTTTTAATGTGTTTTGAACTTGTTTTGTCCAATCTCCCTCCTTATAACACCAGGAAATCTTTACAATTCTATACAAAAATTCATTTATATTGGCAATATTTTATATATTTTTTATTATAGATAAAATTATTCCAGCTTTAATTATTTTCTGTTCTATACGAAAAATACATTAAATGGGACAGAAGACAGCCCATTTCGTGCAAACACACACACACACACACTCTTATTGATTATATACTGTACTTCGCAGAATGCTGTTGAAAAAGGAGGACATTTTTGATTGAGAACTAAAAAACTAAGTGATAATTTATGGTTCCAATTTTATATATAAAATTTTTTAATACAGAAAAAAACACACTGAAGTTAAATGGAGAAGATAAACTTTAATACAATTTTTTTTTTTTTTTTGCTTTCGTCTCATTTTTAACTTTAAAATATTAGAAGAAATTCGATAAAAGTGAGGTAAAGATGAATAATTCTATAGAAGTTTTATAGTTTATAGCGGCGTAGTGTTATTTACAGTATTTATCAATAGTTCAAGTTACATTTACAGTAGTATTTATCGAAGACAACTGATAAAAGATGATCGTTAAAGGGGTATAAAAATATATCTTTGGAGCAAAAAAATACTTTAAGAATTGTGAAGATAAAATTCTTACAAAGTAGATACGTAAAGCGTACATTACTGTAGTTTATCCCTATATAAAAGTAGGGTTTAGAGGAGGGAGGAATGCTAGTTTATTGAATGATGTGACCATAAGCTACGTATACATTTATCAAGAGGGAGGGAAAGAAAAAAGTATATTTTCTCTAATCTTTATAAAGATTAGAATAGAAGTTGGAAGATGATTTTTCATATTCGAGGTGTCACCATTAAAAGTGTAGATTATCCGGTCGGGTTATTTCTATGTGAGGCTTTAATGGTCGGTCGAACAGTGCGGACGTGTGCCACGTGCGTTGCTAAGCGACCGTCTTGCTCTGCTTGTTGCATCAGCAGTTAAAGTTGCCAATGATAAAACTTCGTAGAATCGTTCTTCCAGGTACGGCCCTAAGCTCTCTTTATTGTTCCAAGTTTATGCCATTTGTTTATAGGTGCTGGCATCTATTTAATGTAGTAAATAAGTGCCAGTCCCTATATTGATTGAGATAAAAATTCAATTTTAATCTTTGATATAAATAAAAAGCGGAAAAGATGAAAAAAAAATGAAGTTATTCGCTAGAAAAGTTTATATTAAAAAAACAAAACGAAAAATATATATATTTTGCTTAATATAAGTCGTGCGTGCATGATGACAAAAATGAAAAGTTTTTATTTAATTTTTAAAATTCTACTTTAAGTTGTAGATCAAATGATATGAAAAGGTAGCAACTACCTATGTATATATGTGTGTGTGTGTGTGTGTGTGTGTATATATATATTAATGAACTTAATATCTTAGTATTGAAAAATGAACAATAAGTTTATGTAAATTTAAGATATTAAGATTTATTAATGTTAGTATAATATTTAATATAATTTTTAGATATGTAAACTTACATTACATTATGTCTTTTAGAAACTAAATAAAATTTAAAATAATTTTAANTTATTAAATAATGTATAGTTGCTTAGTAACTGTTAGTTTCCTGTACGGTATACAAATGAATACATTTATTTCTTGTTAATATCGAAAAATACATGAAAATATAGGCGAAATTGCTGTTTACAGTGCAAAATAATTAATTAAGTAGATATAAGTAAGCAAAATACATTTTATGAAGCAATTTTACATCATTTTTTCGACATTAAATTACTGTTAGAAACAATTAGCATATTTGTAAATAAATGATAATTTACTGAATTAAAATACACGAATTTATTCTTAATTTCTTAGTAATTCAAAAATAATTGTAGTTATAATAACTTAATATTTCATCAGGAAACGGGAAGAAACTTTTTTTAAAAAATTAAATAAATATTCTTATAAAATTTCATGTGAAATTGCTTAAATTGTTTATACTGTAATTGACCTATGCATTCCTATTGTCATCCGTCCGTCTGTCTGTCCTTCGTTAATCTCGAAAACGTAGGATGAAAATCGAGACCGGATACGGAAAGCTTAGTGACCGGAAGCCCCGAATAACTGTACACGAATTTCCGGTTTGTAGCGGAAGTCGCGTGATTATTTAAATTAAAATATGATTAAAAATGCACATTCGATTTTCTTTTTAATTGTAATTAATGTATAGGCCTATTAAATATCGCCAAATAAAATTCTATTCTAAATATTGTTTCATTGTAAACAGAAAATCAATTTCTTTGCTGTTTCATA